TGTTATGATCCACACAGTTGAATGCTTTTACATAGTCAATGAAACTTCAAAAAACATCATTTGGGTATTCTGGGAGTAAGAGCAATAAGTTTGGGGTGGGGTGGAAAAGCCTGACTTGTTGCCTAATATGCAAAGGGATTGTCATACCCTCTCCTTTCTCCTTTGTACTCTAAGCTCATGGAGCCCAGTGGGGCAGTGGTCAATCACCTGGCTGCTGACACGATGTTGGTGGGTCAAACCCCCCTGGCACACTGTGGGTGAGACGCGGCAGTGGCTCCCATAAAGACTACAGTCTTGGGAGAAATGGAGAGCTAACAACAGTGAGTATGAGAAGAAAGTGTTCTGAAACTGGTTGGGGAGATGATTGCACAAATCATTATTTATTTATTTTAATAAATAATTTTATTGGGGGCTCGTACAACTCTGATCATAATCCATACATCCATCCATTGTGTTAAGCACATTTGCTGCCATCATCATTTCCAAAACATTTCTTTCTACTTGAGCCCTTGGTATCAGCTTCTCATTTTTTCCCTTCCCTTCCTCCCTCCCTCCCTCATGAAACCATAATTTATTAAAAAATTTTTTTCATGTCTTACATTGACCATGTCTCCCTTTACCCACTTTTTTGTTTTCCATCCCCCTGGGAGAGGGTTATAGTCGATCACTGGGATCAGTTCCCCTGGACATTTAAATTGTATGATAGGTGAAGTATATGCAAATGAAACCATTTTTAAAAGGATATAATCTTGGAAAGCCTATGGAATGGTTCTACTCTATCCTATGTGGTCACTATGAGTCAGTCTAGACATTGAGTGCATTTTTTTTGTATTGCTGAAAATATACATGAATGAGTAAAAGAATAAATGATAAGAAACTTACAATATTTGTTCAATTTGAGCATTTCCAAATGCTCTCTCTTATAAAAAGAGTTCTGACCACCAAAGTAAACCAGAGTCATTCATAACTTGGGGGCAAGCAGATGGATTCTAGGCTCCCAAATAATTCTCGACCTAATACAAGAACAGTTAGTTTTGGTAACATGGCCCTGCTCAACACTCACCTTCATGAGATCACTTAAGATAAGGGTGCTATAGCCTGATACCAAGGGCTCAAGTAGAAAGAAAATGTTTTGAAAATAATAATGGCAACATATGTAAAAATGTGTTTGATAAAATTGATGTATGAATTGTTATAAGAGCTGTAAGAACCCCCAATCAAATGATTTATTTTTAAAAAATCCAGAATAAGGGTAGTATGGCAAGTATGGTGAAGAAAGCAGACAGTGCCCAATTATCAATCAGAATAGTGTGGCTGTTACATAATCTCCTGTCAACTTGAGTAAAGGGATGGAGTCTAGACTGTCAATCAGGTCATAGCCAATGATGACTCTGTGTGGGCATGGCCTTCACATGAGGATTCTGGGAACTCCTGCCTTCCTCCCTGGAGGCGGAACACTCTCTCAGCCTTCCCTTTCCTGCTATTGAGACACTCTCAGAGCTGGAGGAGGCAGGTGAAGACCCGCACCAGCAATTGAAATGCTTCCACTGCCACTGGATCCATAAGACTTTCCTATGATCTTCCTGCATTTGGCATCATTGCATGTGCTGTGTGAGTCCAAAGAGGAATTTATGGACTAGTATCGGGCATATGGGCTAATATCAGACTTATGGGCTTGATCTGGACTGGGCTGGAATGTTTTCTCAATATACAATTGCTCTTTTATATAAAGCTCTTTCTCACACACATATGAGTGTCTATGGATTTGTTTCTCTGGTCAACCCAGAGTAACACACAGATAGTGTCTAGGTCTTAAAGGCTTGTATTCAAACAAGCAGCCATCTAAGTGAGGCATCAACTAAGTCCACATGGAAGAAGCACACCAGCCTGTGTGATCCAAAGATGCCAATAACAAAATCAAAATATGATCAAGGGAAAAGTATCAGAGCTTAAATTGTGAACATCCAATTTACAGAAGGCTATGGAGGAGAGTGGGAAGCCTAAAATCCATCTGCAGAGTGTCTGGTCAGGTTGGGCCTCTGGCAGAACTCCGCTAGTCAAGGTGAGGGACTCAAACAGCTTCACTCTCAGACAGAGACTACTGCAAACTTGATTACCATATATTCGTGTGTATAAGCCGAGTTTTTTCAGTGTCTTTTTAATGCAATTTTTGTGGTAAAATTAGGTGCCTAGGCTGATATTTGCATCAGCTTATACTCAAGTATATATGGTATGATAAATTGAACCATCGTGTAATATGATACTGAGCCAGTTGACCTCTCTCTTCACCCAGCCAGAATTTTCTCTATACTCAACTATTCCTCAATTGTTTCAAGAAAGAAATTTCCTTTTTGGCTTTTTAAATATTATTGATGTTATTTTCCTCTTACTCTTTATTTCTATTTTTATCATTATTATTATTGTTGTTGTTTTTTTCTTCTGTTTTGTCTTGGTTTTGTTTTTTATTGTTTCTGTTAGGTCTCCCAGTTTAGGAAACACAGGAGTAAATGCATAGAGACCATAACTGATGCAATGGTTTTCAGGAACAAGGGAAGGGACAGAGGAATTGGGGAGAGATCAGTGGATGTGGGAGGGGAGAGGGAGCATTAGAACTTCTACAATGCATCTTAGAAGTGGTTTAACTATGGGAATGTTATATCAAGAAAACTAGGAAAGAACGAAAACTTGACCTCTGGTTACCATGAGTGAAGGAGGAAGAGTTTTTGCTTAGGGGCCATAGGAGTTTATTTTAATGGTGGGGAAATAATTTGGAGAGGGATAACAATAATGTTGTACAACACAAAGAGTATAATCAATGGCACTGGATTATACATGTAGAAGCCGTTGAACTGGTGAATATTTTGTTGTGTATATTTTTCCCAAAATTGAAAAACAAAATACATGAATAACAATGAGTACAGGGAAAAATAAAATGCTCTAAAATTTATTGTGATAAAGACTATACAACTTTTATTGATATGGTTGAACTATTGAATTGTACAATATGTGGATGAAGTGCCAGTAAAACTTTTTATAAAAAATTAAAATATAAAGAGTCATGGTGCTCTTTATAAAAGGTTAGACATTGGGCTGCTTACCACAAGGTTAGCAGTTCAAGCCCACCAGCAGCTTCACTGGAGACAGATGAGGCTATCTACTCCTGTAAAGAGTTACAGTCTTGAAAACCCTTAAGGAAAAGGTCTCTGCCTCTGGTGTGGAAAACTGAGAACTGGGAAGAGAGTGTATGTGGACAAATTCTCTAAGCTTCTAATTTAGAGTGTGAGAAGCCAAGACTCCCATGGAGGGAAGCCTTCATGTTCCTGAATTGGTGATGAATTCCAGTCACATTCTCCTAACTAAAAGTTATTCCCCACAATGTCCCTCCATAATAATGCCAACTTAAAGATGTTTCTATTAAGCACATGGCTGCTCTCTAGTATGTCCAGAGGCTATCTGCCATCAAGAACAATCAGACTCTGTTGCCCACCGCACCCTAGGTGCAGCCAACTCCCTTCTGATAAGGATCATAGATTGCTCCATAGAGGAGCTCAGGGACACTACAGATCAAGCCAGCTCAGAGAAAACCAAGGTTAGGCCAACATCTTAACTCTAGCACCTGCCCATCTTTTAAATTTATGTCCCTAGCATGTCCTCCTCCTGTGTATGAAGTGTGTTATATGTATGAAGGGGCTTGCATGCCCAAGATGATATAAGCCCGTGAGAGAATACATTCACTCTCTCTCTTGATCCTGCCACCAGAAGAGGCAAGCCCTTGCATGTCTTGTCTGATGTCTGTTTAATTTACCCTTCAATTTCACAACCGCCTTAGGACCCATTCGGTTGTGGAGGTTGGTCCCCCACACTAAAGGCTCACGATGACGCAATAGAAAGGGTTTTGTCTCTTAAAGGCTTGAAGATAAACAAGTGGCCAACTAGCTCAGAAGCAACAAAGCCCACATGGAAGAAGGACAACAGCATACATGACCATGAGCTGTCGAAGGGATCAGGTATCAAGCATCAAAGAACAAAAATGTCATTGTAAAGGTGGGTGAGTGCAGAGTGGAGACTCAAAGCCTATTGGTAGGCAACTGAACACCCCCTTGCTGAAGGGTCAAGGGGAGGAGATAAGCCAATCAGGGTGCAGGGTAGCAACGATGAAACATATAACTTTCCTCTAGTTCTTAAATGCTTCCTCCCC